GTTTTCATAGTTTTCAAAGTGTTCTTGAAGTCACCGATTCATATGCATTATCCTCCCTCGTGAAATCGTCACAACTCGCCGTGGGGATCACTTTAAAAAACGCTGCATTACATGAAAAAATTTTGATGTAATTATTGAGTCAAAAATAGATTAAAATAAAACCTTATAAAAATATACTTTTTGCGTGGGTTAGATTCTTTCTACGTAACTGTCCATTTGCCTATTGATATGTTCTGGTTTCTTGAAAACCCATTTCCATTTCTCTTTGTTAATATTCTTTGTATTAACATTCAAATTCTTACTTGTCTAATGCAAATCTTAAGTTCATCTTGAAAGGGTTAACGTAAGAGAGAGTCCAGTTTGAGCTCGTAGGGACTGACCGGTCCAGGGGCATCTGTCCTCTGAAATAAATCCAAAGTAGTAGGGTGAGATGAACGCAGATCAATAAGCCATTGAGTGAATTTATAAATATTAATACTTTATGTTAATGTTGATATTAATGTGGGAAATCTCGATGTATTAAACTTGTTTGATTTTCCCGATTTGTATTCCACTCAAGTTCCTTCTGCAATCCTTTGCGCAATCGATGTGTGAAACAACGAGTAAAACAATTAAAATTTCGACCTTGTAACTTAAACGTCTGCCACGTTCGTTCGCTTTGAATGCAAACACAACCGAAATGTGCTGCTTTTGTTTTTTAGAGACGCAACTACACTAGAGAGTGAGTCACCGAAAGAATATTCAAGTTAATCAGACTAATTGGTGTTAATTCAGTTTGAACCTGGAGATTTTTAGATGCTCGCTCCTAACTCGATTTGGGTTGAACAACGTCTTCGGATTTTAATAGGATTTAAAGAGGAGACATCCACATTGTTTTGAAGACAGAAACCGAATAATTAGGTGATTCTTAAACGAAGTTTAGGTAAAATACAAATATAAATATAATCAAATATAGAAGAGGTCAAAGGTTTCTCCATTTGTGGTATTCATATCTAGTATAGCCTACATTTATATACAAACAAAGACCAAAATTATGAGTACTTTTTCTAAACTTTTTTATAACATTATCTAAAGTAAATTTAATTGAATGTATGTTGAGCTCACGCAATCCATTTCAAAGTAAATATATTAATAATAATATTAATTGTGAAAGTGAATTTAATTAACGACGCGTCAAAATTCAGCACAAAAACCCCATAAAACTGGACGTCTTATTAATGCCCATATCACCCGAGTTAATTAGTAGTCATATTGTTTGGAGTTAATTAAATAAATGCCTCATTTTGGTTTGTTAATAATTAGGGAGTCGCCGATGCAGGACGGGCCAAAGGGGGGGAGATTTGGCAATAAAAAATATACATACATCTGCACTCGTTTGAAATGAATAAATGTTTATTTTTAGATGTGATTGTATGCGTGTCCGTAGTGAGAGAGAGAAAGAGAGAAATTTATAAATATTTATCGTATGGTCACGGTGCCGTCTTTAAGTGTCCTTGAATTTTTTAAATCGGGAGGCACCATTTACAATTTAGATTGCACACTACAAACTAGGTAGGTATTTTTTTTCGTCGTTATTTTGGATGGATGTTTATCCTGATTTCATTATGGTTTTTAATGATCTTTGATGCTCTTTACATTACTTAAAAAATGGTTAGTCTGAGAAGCAATGCAATTTTAAGTTTTATAAAAATTATTTTCGCCCAAGGTCGTTCGATAATATTATTTTTGTGCAACACTATTTTTAGCCAGACTTTACTCAAACATGTCCCTTTCTTATTATGTCATCAAATGCCCATTAAATATTATTGCAATTTATGAGGACTAAATACAAAAATGGCAATAAAAAGAACGTGGGAGTCAAACTGATCAAATAATAAAATTTAACGCCTTTTTTATGAGTCACAAATCACAACTTAACATGATTTTAGTTTACAAATAAATCAAATATTATGCAATTTTTTCGATTTCAATTTAATTAAAAACATTGTATGTGTATCGGATATAATTTTTAATGGCAATTACTTCGTCAAATATCAATAACTTAAAATTGAATAAAACAACACGAACAAAAATAGTATTAATAATTTTTAGCGCCGCTATGTAAAATTAATTTGATAAAGTTTTTAATTTTATATGTCCATAAAGCCGGTTAAAATAGTTGATAGCGTCTGAAAAAGTAACAAATTTACATAAAAGGCATATTTGTTGCTGTTTTATACGCTGATAAACGTTCTCTTTTCCTCGCAGCAAGACAGTCTGGGGCATTATGCGCGAATTAATAAAAACCCGCATCTACTACCTATACATACCTACAATATGACTAATTAAAAAACTGTGCGATTCGCTTCTATTAAAATGAATCGCTACAACAGCTTTACTGATTACATTATTGTCCTACCGCATTTTTTGTTTTAATGCAGTTCTATTTCAAATTATCACATTGTTTTTTTATCAAAATACAGAATGTATTTGTTTTCAAGTCTGGAGGACAAATAATAAGACTACCGTTTGTACTGTGTACTTGTGCATTTAATGTTTTTAAACTATTTTTCCGGCTCACCTGTTGTTAATATTGGTAATAATTTATTTTATTCAAATTATTAATATTATAAAATATACAGTGTGTCTCCGGATCGGGTTGTCAATAAGAAAAACTTTTTTATTAGACGTTAAAAAAACAATTTTTATAAAATCTCCTGCTTGTCTAAAAAAATGAGATTCCGATACAAAATTAAATTTAATGCTCAGAAATTATGAATATGCTTCCAAAGAAAAGTAACTTTATTTTTTTTTATTTTAAAGACGAATTTTATATAAAAAAGTCGTTGACAATTCAAGTTTAAATCTAAATTTATTATTTATACGAAATTTATACGAAATATTTTTTTATTTTAACATTTAAATAAATAATAATACCTAAGTAATAAATAAATAAATAAAATTAAATGTAATTTTTTTCAAATTTAAACTTTATTGTTTATAAAATGTTTCTATTATGGAAATTTTCGATAAAATTCTTAAAGCATTTTCATATATTTTTTTAAATTTTTGACCATCCTGTACATTTAATTTAAATTTCTTTATTGTAATCTTATTTTTTAAACCAGATGTAGATTTTATGAAAATTGCATTTTTATGCGTTTTGTATGGTACACCGTTATACTATTTAATAACTCTAGCGCAAATAGTTATGTTCAATTTTGATATTTATTTTATCTTTATTAATTATTAAACGAAAATTCAATTTATTTTATGCAATTGTAAATTAAATACAAAGGTAGTTTTTTATTACAGGCAATATAGAGAATGAACATTATTTGTTTACTGAAGAATACATTTTATAATTTCTATGACTGCTTTTAAATCTATTAAATAGTAAAATGGCGTTCCAAATAAAATGCATAGTAAAAAAGTTTTTCAGATTGGCAACCCGATTTTCATAATTTCTGAGCATCATGTACTTTTGATTAATTTTTTTTATGGAAATCTAATTTTTTAAACAATCAGGAGTTTTTATAAGTACATGAATGATTTTTTTCGTAAAACGCAGGGTACGATTTCTTAATTTTTAAGCACACTGTACATATTTTTTGTGAAACGAGCGAGTTTTTATAAAGAATGTTTTTTTTTCAAGAAATGTATATATATTTTTTTCCTATTGGAAACCCGATCCGGGTATACAATTTTATACATAAAATAAAAATTATATAGATAATAGATAATATAGATTTTTTTATTATTATATTAGTATTTAGTAACAAATTTAAGACTCTTTAAATAGATTTTAAATAGTCCTGACATTTTTTATAATTTTATGATGGTGTAGACAGTTTTAATACATTTTAGACAGTTTTTGAGAATTAAAAAAAATAATTTAAAATAGTTTTAAAGCGGATTGATAAGTTAAACAGTCAACATTTATAAGGTGACATTTTAAAAATGTTAAAAAAAAACACAAAATATCTCGTCGTTAAAATATACAGGGTGGATCCTTTTATGTATGGGTGTCATTTTATTTGAGGAGCTACAAAGTCCGTTAAATTAGAAAAAAATTGCGTAATTACAAGTCTATTAATATGACATTAAAACATTGGAAAAATACTGAGCCATATTGGAATTTTACATAGTTAAAAAATCAAGGAATCCAAGAAGTTATGGCGGTCATTATAACTCAAAATATAGTAGCAAAGAAATTAAATAAAAATGTAGATTACTGTGTATGTTAAACTTACTTTTTTTCAAAATTTGCAGTAATAACGAAGTTAAAACGTTTTTTTGTTTTTGACAGGTTTTAGTTTTTTTTATAATTTTTAGAACCTCTTTTTTCTTTCAATTTTTAAATTTAATTCCAATAGGCTTGTAATTACGCATACCTACACATTCTTGGTGCACCCTGTATATTGGTAATAATTTAGTTGGCTTCAAAAAGTATGGTATTTATTATTCCTAAACAGTAATTTTAATCACCACAGTTGTGTAATGAATAAAAATAATATTTGCATATATTTTTCTATAGATAATACTATTTTTGTTTTGTTAATTAGTTAAAAATAACATAATTTACATAAGATTTATAAAAAACAAAATATTGTTTTGCCTTTATTTTTAAGCTTAGGGTAGTTATTTACCTGTACAGTAGTAGTGGCTCGTAGATGGTAAAAGTACCAAAATGACATTTTTTTAAGATTTTAAAAATAAAACATGATTGTAAACATTTCAATTAATGCTAGTTTAGTAGAAATATCAACAGCTATTTAATTTAAGAAATAAGCTTAGCATAATAAATAAAAAAAGGGGAAAAAGTTGTGAGAACGAGCGCGTCGTGCAGCGTCGTTCGTTCTGACGGGCATTGAGGCACGGCGCAGGCGCGCGCGCCGAGTAGCCAAACTTCCTCTGCGAGTGGTGGTGGGGGTAAAACGTCTGTGAGCGAGTGTGTGCATGCGAACACGCCGCTAAACTACTTAGTATCGTAGTGTAATACTTGCCTTTTGCTTTTGCAGACAGTCGACAGCGTCAAGTTTCATCGGCGAGAGTAGTGTTCATCCAGGACCTGAAAATTATATTAAACGAAAAATAATGCGCTAGATCGCTTGTGTCTCAGTCTATCTTTTCCTCTCTAAATTTTCGAAATCAAAGTCTCGACAATCGCTTCAGCTTCTCGCCTACCTGCTTACCGCAATACAAGAAAAAAGTTTACGACAGAAAAACAGTACCATAGTGTTATTTTTCTAAGAGCATAACAACACCAAGTACTAAGTTTGTGTGATAGTTAGTTGTAAGTAGTTCGCAACTGAAAAATGGACAATAATTCTACCTGAAACTCTCCCAAATCATTATATTATCATAGTGAAAGTGTCGCGTATCCTTACGTCCAAAAAGTTTTAAAAAGTGCTTTCTCGCTTCTCCGAAAAAGTCCCCAACTTTACGTCACCGTAAAACGTAAACAAATTTATTAAAAAAAACAAAATGGCAATGGTCAACATGAACAACCTGCTGAATGGCAAGGATTCGCGCTGGCTTCAGCTGGAGGTGTGCCGCGAGTTCCAGAGAAACAAATGCTCCAGACCGGACACAGAGTGCAAGTTCGCTCATCCACCAGCCAACGTCGAGGTCCAAAACGGAAGAGTCACCGCCTGCTACGACAGTATTAAGGTAGGTCACACCATCTTCATCCCAATTTTTATAACTGCTATCTGTACAAATGCAAAAAACTTCTTCTTATAAGAAAATATAAAAACATTGGAAAGGTTTGAAACCTAATAGATGCAAAATAAATTAGATTAAAAAATTTCCGGTTAATTTTTCACTGCCAAACATGTGTACCAATTTGTCTTATCAGTCTGATAATTTTTGTAAACATTTACACATTTTATAGTTAAACTTTGCCATTTGATTTAATCTTCAAATGGAGCATTGCATTATTTTAGTTTATCAAATCTTCATCAGGTTTTCCTTTTGATAGAATCACACTATGAAATAGAAATGACTGATATAGTTTACTTTAATAACTAAGTTTAGGGTGTTTATTAATGTATTAAAGATGTTTGACATAATCTTGGATATCCTTACTTATTATAAATAAATCTTCTATGGTTGATCTTAGCACTGTTTAGCTTAACTATCCAAAAATGTAAATCAAATCTCTACCTGTTATTAGCTTTGTTCGTTTCCAATAGGAATCCTGTATGTAAACTTCTGTTTTTGAAGAAATTTTGTATTTGTACTGAGGTTTATTTACAATATAAACAATATCGGCAAAGTCTAGACGTCATTAAAAACAATCGAATAGAAGGCATACCTGAGTCCGACCGTGCAGGTGTAAAATTTCGGCTAATATGGTAGATAAAGTTTTCAATTTGAAGTATTTCAAGCTCATTAATAATTCAACCTAATTGTGTTGTCTGAACAATAAAAAATCGTCAATATTTGGTTTCGATGCCGATACCATGGAAAAACTGTATGAATCACCTTTATGATTTTAATAATAATCGTTTATGCATGAAGTTTATTTATTAGGAGCTTAATGTTAAAATCGATATTGAAAGCAAATGTACAAACACGCGTTCCGAAAATAGCTAATGTTTATATTTAATAAAAATGTTTTAAGAAATACGCAACTTTTTAACAAAACTAATATGTTTGTTGGGTTTATCGATTACACTTACAATCATTGAGTAAATAATGTTTTATCTTCTTTGCCATGTAAAACCTAACGTGGATTACAAAACGAGCGTAATGTTAGTACATCTAAAATGGAACACAATAAAACACAGTGACCGCCAATACGAAAAATCATTGTTGTTACATAAAAATGCGAAATAATTAATGGTCACGCATTAGTCGGAAAAATGCATGTCAATTGGGCACACGCTCATTATTATTCCATTTGCTCGGAATAAATTAAATAGCAGGTCACAATTAAGTAATTTTTGTAAATGTCTTTGACCGAAATATTTACCTTGGCTAAATACAGATAACGAAATTGTTAATGATTCATTGTTTGATGTTTATTTGGATTAACGTTTTATGTTACTTTTTATTGGACAGGAGAAAATACTTTAAATATTTTTTTGCGCACCGCACCATGGTGCAAATCAATAGTTTGGCAACGCCAAAAAGCCTTTATTAAATTTTAATGCGTCGTGAATTGCAAATTCGGTTTTTGTTTTGGCCGGGCGAAAAGAACAAAAGCGGTTTTATTGTGTGTCGTACACTTTACACCCCCATCGTTTCTAAAACATAAATCCACGACAATACAAACAAATATAGAGCCCCCCAATTCATTCATACCACGCGGCACACACTGCCATAAAACGTCGTCTTCGTCGACCCGCGTTTTATTATTTTACTTTAAGAGGGGAATTTCCTGCTCCTTGGCCGCAGAGATATCGCGAAATAGACCGGTCGCGGAGCGTGAATATTTAAATTTCTGCGACCACCGCAGCGCCCCCTGCATTCCGGCCGATAAACTCGCCGAATCGCTTTCCGTCTGTTTGTAAATTCATTTCGTCTCTCGTAATGATCCACTTCATTTGTTTTGGGTCGCTACACTGACAAACATAAAAAAGAACGACAGGGAGGAGGATCACGGTCTCTTCAACTTTCATAATCGCTGTTTTATTGTTGTTTGGGTCGTAGCGCAGGATCTTTCCTGCCCGACGGTTTAAGATTTGTTAAGACGGCTTTTTTTCTAAGGATAAGGACCCTCCAATCCAATTAGCAACGTTAGATGATGTACATCAAACAAGAATGTTGAAAGCAAACCTTTGCCCCGCTGGCTACAGAGATAAATTAAATGATAAACCTAATCAGAGTTAGGTGCGTTTATGACAATCAATTAATTCGATAATTAATTTCCCAATGACTTTGCAAGTATTGTATGCATGTGTAGCGCAAATGAAAGTAAGTCAAAACTTTTACCGTTGGGTAAATCAACGCTTTTACGATATATTATATTGATTTTGATGGCGTGTGAGCTCTCTTTTTTATTTCGTTGGTTCGCAGGTGGATAATAACGTTGTTTCTGAAAATATAATTGACAGACAAATGTTTGTCGAAATAATCTCTTTCTGGCGTTGTCAAATTGCCCATATATCAAATTATGAGAACGAACACTGACGCTGACAAGTATTGTTCGCTAATATCGTCACCGAGCCAGGATTATAATTTCCATGTTGTAACAATTACGTTGCTGAAAATCTCATCAGCACGAAACAACAGTTTCTCGCTCTTTTCCCTTTTCCTCGGTTGTTCTTCTTGATGATTTTTGGCAGCATTGTTTACCAAATTAACCCACTTAGACTCTATAATTACCTAGCCAAAGCTTTATTGCAATATTTCATAATATTTTCATTTTTATTAATATTTTCATGGTCCTCGATATATCGGGTAAATATATTTTTCATTCTGAAGATTAAAAAAAGTCATAAACTAGATATACAAAAACACCAAAGGTAAAAAACAAAAAAGTTCCATATTGATTGACATTTTCAATTATTGGCCACCCCTTTATATTGCGATATGTCAACAATTTTAAATAAACATCTGTGGACCTGATATTTGATATCGAAAAAGGGACAGATTGTTTGCTAGTTTGACCGTTGTCCCTTAACCCCTTCCAGGCAGCATTAAAAAACTATAACAGCTTGTCTCCCGAAAGGTCACCGAAGCCAATATTTGACAATCCATTAAAACGCGCTTCACTATGAGAAATATAAATTTAATTTGACGCAACCAAGAGTGCTTAGGTTCGGCTTGATTAAAAAAAAAGGACGCCGGAACGCGCTGAAACAAAAACAAAACGACGTTCATTTGTCTTTTTCGCGTTGACTTGGATGGATGGCAACATTGTTTGATACTAACAATTCACATCATTCGATGGAAGAAGCCAAAACGAAATGGAGTGAAGTAAAGTGAAGCGTAAACACACAAAAGTTTTGTTTTATAATTGAAAGTTATTTGTAGGATGGAGGGTAATTATTTTGATAGAACAGTAAATCTTGATTTGCTCAGTCTATCCACTAAACAAGAAATTTGATAGCAGTAGCTTTTAGCGTCATGCATGTCTGTCATGTATCAGTTGTTTATGTCCTGCAAAAACAGTGTCTAAAAATGTTTCTACAAAAGAAAAAGCATTGTCCATGCTGTCAGAGCTTGCGTTTTCCACACAAAGCGTATACTATACGAGAAGAATGTGGGCCGCTGAATCTGATTAAATTTTGATTACAGTTCCCGATCGTATTTCACGGCGGCTGACGTTTTCAGCAAATAAACTTATCGTATTTTGTATGTGTAAATGTTGGTTCCCATAAATAGAACAAAATTAAAGAAAATAGACAATAGGAGCCGACCCACGTGCGTTCTTCGTGGCCATTCGTGAAATTGAGGAAGTCATAATTATTTTTGAACTTACTGCCCACTATAATTGTTTTAAAGTTTATGCATTCCTAAGTTATTATTATTTACAATAATAATAAGCACTTTAAACTTACGTAAATGCTAACTATCCGTATTAGATAAAAGGTAAAAGTTATCTTAATGCAAACGTTATTATTAAACAGATAAAACTTCACATTATTCGAATTCTTTGTAGTATAATGAAGCAGCGACTAGAAAAATATAAAGTTGCAATCAATAATAGATGGTCAAAGGGTTTTTGTCAAACAAGGTCTAAGCCAATTTTACAGAGGAAACTTTGGTTTATACTTTAAAGAATATATTTTTGCTCTTTAAAACGTTTTAGAGCAGGTGAATTTTTAAAATCATCATCAAAGCTTTTCCCGTTTTATTTTTATTTAGAATATTTAGGAGCAGAAATCCCATTTATCCTTCAAATTAATTAGGTTTCCATTGCTGACATAAACTTAAAATTCTTTTACGGTCTAAATTTAATTGCGCTTATATTTAGACTATTTTTATCGGTATATGATTCAGGTCGTAGAACTCCAAGTTTAAAAATAAAACCGAATATTCGTGTAGGTGCTAGCTCAAGATTATTTTTCCCCGTTGTTGTTTACTTTTTATTCCAAAACAATAAGTTCCTCAACAATGCCAGGATTCAAGTGTTTCATCGATTTTTCCTTGGAACTTCCTAAAACTACTCGGAAACAAAAGAAAGCGACCCGTTGTCCTTGACACGCCACGACGATGAAGGAACGCGCACAGTGCCGCGCAATTGATTAATTACACGTGATGGGGTGGCTGGTGAGCCGCCGCCCCACTTCGCTTTTATGAATGAGATATGCACGTATGAGTTTACCTACATGTGTTCGCAAACGAAACGCGAACGACGAGGAGGAGGTCCACGGCTACCAACTGTTGCTGTCGCGCGGCGGACTTCCGTTGTGGCTTTTGTGATGTATGGCGAATTTATTATGGTCCTCTTCTCTCTTAAACGACGACGAAACATAACCGAATTGCGAGAGCGTTTGAATTATTACCTGAGAATTTCTTGTTTTATCTAATTTATTCAATTCGCGCGACGATATCTCATCGTTATTATCGCGATTTAGGTACTACAAATACTGGGATATAAATTTAAATTATATTTAACGATATCAAGTACATGAAATATGCCTTCCGATTTTAACGAATACCACCCAATATATTTGCATTCACGTAATGAACTAGGTGATATCAAATTATCAGATAAA